GTAATTCCAGCTTTCTTTTGTCTGTTTCATCAAGTTGTCCTTCATTTTCTTGACATTATATTCAAATGTTGCCCAGTGTGTGCATGAAGCGGTGTTTGGACTTGTGTAATATGTATGTTGTTGAGACAGGTATCATGTATGGAAAGCCTCTCTGGAAGTATTTAAAAAGTTTTTTCTCAACTTGGGAATTCAACCAATATTTGATGGTAGGAGGGGCTCCCAAAGGTAACCCCCACTGCCGCTTGGCCCTTGTACCCCCCCTTTTTTAGTCTCCTGCTTATGAATGGCCTGAATACAATAAGCGGCATTTTTTTCCTCCTCTTTCCTCCCCCTCCCTACTTTCCTCCCTTTCCTAGCCTTCTGTTGCCCCTCTGAGGATTGCTGGGAATGTAATGTATGTGTGTTAGCATGTGTGTGCTAAAGCGGGCTAAAAGGCAGAAAGAAGGAAAAATGGTTAAAGAGTTGGAAGAGACTGTGTGTCTAAATTTCACAACTAAATGTGTGTATCCCATGTGGAACTGCACATGAGACCCCAGGAGGCCTGTGCTTCGCCTTGTGCTGTTGGGCCAGGGTCATGTGAGCTTTTCTGGGGTGTGAAACTCGAGGAGTGGCCCATGAGAGATCAGCTCCAGGTCACTCGCACACTCAGTGGCACTCTCACACAACAAATAGCCCGTACGCTGTAACTGCACCGTCATAAACTCTATGCTGCTGTTCCTCTCATCCACGCACTATAAAACTTGGCAAAAACATCTCCCAAAAATGCTTAGCCATCTGTGGATCATCCCCCGAATGGATTATCACCCAAACCAGAGCTAATATTCATAACCTTTATTCCTGTGAAATTATTTGAAACTAAATGTCATAATTGTCTCTGAGCTAGAAGCGACGTGTCTGACAAGATTGCCTTTTCGCAGATGACTGACTAGTGAAATGCTGGCTGTTAATTTGTCAGGCAGCAGAAAAATGGCTGACACCTCCGATTGGCACGTGTGGCCTGCTGCAGGGGGGGCAGGTACCATCCCAATGTCTTCCACTGGTTATAATCAGATCATATCAGATTAGCCTCGATCTCGCTTGATAATGCCAGGGAACCCTGTGAGACAGAGATATGAGGAGGGTTGATGAAGACCAAGAAATTGGACACCGAGACATTCAGAACTAACAAAGACTATTACTTTTTATATGTAGTACTTAATTTATTCAAATATGTTTGTTATAATCCACTTGAGTGAGGTAAGAGTCATGCACTTATGTATTTAACTTCACAGTTTAATGTGCATTAGCGCTATATCTCCACCAGTCTGCAATCTCTTCCATGCTTGAGCTGTGACACAGAGAGAAGTAATGAAGTAGGAGAGAGGGAAAAGAGGAATGAGACATGAAGTGCTGTGGAGGCTTATAGAGAAGCTACTGAAGCCGAATGAGCACTCAAGTCAGTGTGTGTTTTGCTAACACTAATGAAGCTAGTTAAAATGTGCACTAACCTAGTTTTTATGTCATTATCTGTTTGCTGGCATATTGTGTTTGTGAGAGTGTGTATTTGTGTATACAGCGTGTGAGGGGACTGATAAAATATTCCTTCCCTTGGTTGGCCCCGGGGCATTTCAACTGCCCCTGGCTCCTTCCAGTCACTGGCCTGCTCCCTAATTGCCACACAGTCTCTCTCTCACCCATACACACACATTTGGGGCTTCTGTGGCAGAAAACTCACATCCATAAAGAAAAGCCATGCGTACATACAGACCAATGCACACATATGCATGCATGCGTTCACCGCTCATGAACATGCACCCCCACTGCCCCGCATTGATTCCTGTCCTCCACAGCACCCCCTCAGCTCCTCCTCATGTAGTTTCAAAGACGTCATGGGCGATCAGTAGGCTGGGCCCAGAGTTGTGCCTGTGGCTTTTCCTCATGGCTAGAGTGGAGTTTATACTAGCAAGTCTTTTCCCTACTACTGGATGTATGCGGCCCACAGTTACAGGCTGCTGATGCCCATAATGAGCCTGGCAGCCTGTGTATGCAGAGGGATGACTGCTCCACTGGCTCATTGGCCTCTTCCACTGCCTTACATTTAACTGGCAACGAGGACATTACAATAGGTTGACGTAGCTTCGTAGGGTTAAGTTTCTCCGGATTCTCTTGCGCCAGTCCAGTGCCTACTGCGGTTTTTTATAGAGTCTGCCAATGTATAATATAAAAAATGATTTTGTAGTTACACTCTTAAAATATGAACATCATTTGTGTTGTCAAAACTCCCTTCCCTGTAGTCCAGCGAACATTGCTGACATTTCCACAACATGGCTGCCAGACACAGCTTCGGCACCTTTCCTGTTACTGTTGCTTACTCCCTTGGCCACTCATCCTCATCCTGCTGCTTTTGCTTTGACTCTAGGTTAAAAGAAAGGAGCAACATTAGGCCCAGGTTTTTACAGAGGAGACTGATAGCATAATGCACATTGTCTAATACCATATTCTTCAATTCGCCTTTCATTCAGACAATTTTAATATTATTTGATGACTGGTTAAATGTGCTGTAGAGACATTGTGCATTAACATACTAAAACAACTTGGCTGGTATGGCCAATTCTATAATATTTAACTTTTAAAAGTAGTGGGTACAGAAAATATGTAGAGAGAAAATATGTTTGCATCATCAAACATATTCTGTAATGTTGTCTTCTATCGCTCCAGCACTTTACCTCACATTACAATGCCCTTAACCATTTCTCACCTCTTGCTTTTCTGCTTATGCTTGCACCCCTCTCCCTCACCCACAGTATGGTACCATGGCCAGTTCGCCTCAGTCTCCTAACTGCTCTAACTTGCATGGGACAAGCCCCACGGTTTGTTATTGTAGGCTTTGCTGAACATGAGCCGGTCTTTACAACGGATTGAAAGCATTTGCTTCCAATGAAAATCTGGTCTTAGATTACAGGGCCCAGGCTCAGCTCCTCTCTGCTCTGTTCCAGCCGTTGCAGAGACACATAGGAAGAAAGAGGAGGGGGCACTTCTGGCCTGAAACAGTAGGCAGTATAGAGGCAGTTGTTAAGTCTGGGGTGCATTTGTCCTGGGCTAATGATGTAACTTAAACTTGAAATTGGAGTGTGCTTCTAAACACAGAGGGCTCATGAGAGTTTGATGGGGTGGGGTTAGTGTGGTTTCTACACGTTTGGGCTTTAGTAAGTCTTGATCTAGTCTCGACACATTCTTGTACTTTTAATGTACTTGATTATTCCTGTCAAGTTTACCTTTTTGGGTGTCACCGGAGCAATAATTGTTGTGGGTGCATAACATTTGCACCATTGACATTATTGATTATATCCAGTCGAGTCTAACTTTTCCTGTGATTTCAGACACAGTCTTTTATATTAGTGTGCGTTGGCGGACTGGTCAATCTACATAACATACACACCCCTAATATGTAACAGTGCTGTGCTGATGTTGAGGCGCCTCCCCGCCCCCTCTCTCCAGTGCATCCCCTCTGCTTCAGCCAGTGCTTAATTAAAAAACCTTCAATATTTGTGCATATGTATCTTGTGCTGCTATAACAGTTGAACTGATGATGAGGGGATGAGAACGCACTCCAGCCCAGTGTTGTTTCGTATGGATCATTGAGAGTCTCTCTCTCCTAATGGTGTATATAATTCAGGTGCCCTGCAGGCATGCTTTCAGGAATTCTTTTGCCTGAGGTAATGGGGAGCAAAGGCCTGGTTTTAGGCCCTTGATTATTCCATTGATGTGGCGGGCTGGAAAAAAGTCATCTCCAACCGGATTAGCGCCAACATCCCCATTAATTATCGATGAATCAGGGCTTAGGGTTTAGCTAGGTGCTGGATGTCGCCCTCTGTAAGTTAGTGGAGCGCGGATTTGCCTGAATGTAGTTATTTCCGTGAGCCACTGCGAAATTGACATAAAAGCTTTAGAAGTGTTTTGTGTGTAATCAATAAATAAGAATACAATTCTGCACAGTGCTTCAGCTAGTTATATTTTACCGTTTTTTCTTTCCTTTCCTTTCTTCACTTGCAAGAAAAAAGTCACAAATCAGCTGTTCAAATTTGATGCAGGCAGTTTTTACATTCGCCGCATGTTTCTTTTATTCTTTCCAAGCAGATACAGCTATGTGGAAAATAACAATTAGGATTTGCCCAGACTCAATTAGAAAGAAGTCCCATTCTTCATGGGTCTATAGAATAACCTGCAGCCAGAGTTCCTCTCTCACACTGTGTGGAGACTGTTGAATCCAGAGGAAAAGCCCTTGGAGTGTCTTCTTTGCACTGTTCCTGCATGCTCAAATACTCTAAGCTGTTTCAGTGTTCCCCTAAGGTGAGGTTAACTGTCCTTAATAGAGCCTTATCGAAGCCCTACAGGTTGCTGTAAGCAGCCACGATGCCATTGTTATGAAAAGCAGCTAGCTTTGTTATTGCCGTTTGTGCGTCTCACTTGGTTTTTTCCACCTATTTTGCTTTTTGCTTTTATTTTCTTCCCCCCTCCTCGTCACTGCAACCTCGCCTTTTGTAGTGTCGTGTTCCTCTTTCCACCTCAGGTAAAATGGCAGAATGTGGTGGGGTGACGCTTCAATAACTATTTTCCCCTCAGGATAATAAAGACTAAATCTTTCTGTCATTTTCAATTCTGCTCCGGCTTGGATGGGAGAGTGGGGAAATGCGACCTTACAAGTCCTTTGTGCTCCTCTTCTCACACTTAGAAAGACGCGGCGCTTGGTGTGTTTTCATGTGGCGGAGAGAGCAAAATAAAAGGCAGGGTTATTTATAAATGTATTAAAAATGAATGCATTTATGAGGTGCTGTTTTCCAGCCATTCTCAGCTTGCCATTGTTGTGTCTCTATAGCCCTTAGTCTGTGCATACAAAGCCCTCTAGAATTCCTTGGCAATAGTATTTATTCTCTTTGATGGAGGAGGCCTTTCGAATTCAGGAAGTCAACAAATCGAGAGTCTGATTTGCTCGGTCTCTTCCTGTTTGTGTCATGTGACAGGTGACGGCCTGGACAACAGCGTAGCCTCGCCGAGCACAGGGGATGACGATGACCCGGATAAGGAAAAGAAGCGAAACAAGAAGAGAGGAATCTTTCCCAAAGTGGCCACCAACATCATGAGAGCATGGCTTTTCCAACATCTAACGGTAAGTGCCACTGAACTTGTGCGCAGTGTAGTTGCCTGCTCAGCCACAGGCCCTCTCACTCTCTCACACACACTTAAGATACCGACATGCGCTCATTGACACCACAAGAATCCACACTTTTCTTCAGCATATCCCAGCACTGGTAAAGGGAGCACTTCAAAGACAAGGCCTGTGTAATCTATCGGCGATCTCTGCTGAAACTGAATAAGGTTGAAGCCGAGGAGAGACGCCGCTGGCCATAACTGCTGCAGATACATAGATGAACCTTATTAGAAACAAATCTGTCATTATTTAACAGATGTCGGCAATCCTTGGTTTCTGCATTACTTTAAACTGGGAATATCAATGCTTAAAGCGCCAGCTGGTGTTCCTTCGCTTTGTGTAGAGCTTTTGTCATGACTATTTGTGCATCTATCGAACAATCTAACTATCTACATGTATAAAATTATCTTTCTCGAACTGAAGTTGAACTGAGTAACTTTCCGAGTATCTTTCCGAGTGTCTCCCCTTGTCTCAATGGAAAGGTTAATGCTGGGTCTGGAATATTTCACATGTAAATCTTACAAATGACACTACTACCCTATTTTACTAACAAAATATCTGTCATTTGATCTAAAAATTATTAGCTTAATGCTATACTTTGCAACATTCTAGGATAAGCAATAAGATCCCAATGGAGACCAAAATGCGGCGAACCGTATACCAGTACGATTAAATGCACTTTTTAAGCATTCACTTTGTTCTCTGCCTGAAAACACGTCTGCTCTGCCTGCTTTATTAAAATCAGCTACATATTTCATCATTGTAGTTTTGTGGCGTTTCTCATGTAATCAACTCAGAATGCAGACCACAATTTAGATCAAACTCAGATGTACTACTGAAAATAGCTCGAAATAGTGGAAATGTTTACTAGATAGAAATTACAATGTTTGCAATCTAACCTATACTCCCCATACTTTGGAGTTGAATTTCTCCAACCATCACGCCAGATCCTGCGAAAAGTAATTTGGTTGTAGGATTGTGAATATTGCATGAACTTTTTATATATTACCGCTAGTCTCTTCTTTGATGTTGATGCATGGAACGTTCTGTGAGAATCGCTCACTGTTTACTGACCAAATTGAAGTTCCCAGAATTTGTAATGGTAGTGTGTATTTGTAGGCAACTGCAATTCGTTCTTTCACTTTTCCCCCCCCACTAAAAATCTGACCCTATCTGACAACCAATAACTCTTCATTGCCCGCTCAGCTCCCATATCCTTCTGACCTCAACCTGTATACCTCAGAAACCTTGAGGTCCGCAGAGGAAAAAGTGTTTGAAACATGCACACTTCCTCCCCAAAAGCCAAATGTCATATTGCACCAGGGCTCCAGCTTATGGAAGGCTTGTTCACTCTCAGATCTCCAACAGTGGGAAGGATATAAGTGAGTGTCAAGGGAGAGAGTGAGAAGAAGGGAGTGAAGAGGAGAAGGCCAAGGAGGTGAGGAAGAGGATGAGGAGGATCTGAAGAACCTTTCTTTTCTCTCAGGAACACACAGACAAGTACAAGATGGCCATATGGCACCGTTGTTTTTGGGACAATATAGGTTAAGACTAGAATGTTTAGAGCCCTGGAAGAAAAATGCACTTTTCTGTCGAACTGCTCCTTCGTCTCCATGGGGATGGGGATGTTTTTTTTTTTTAAACACGCAACTCTTAATAGTTTGCCAGACCTAAAAAAAAATGTATATGTGAAAGAAAAAGGAGGTCTGTACAGCTATTAGATCCCACTTCTATTCATCAGACCTGATGCCCAGGACGTCCCCTCGGTGTCAGTAATAAAGCAATAAGGAAAACAATTGGGAGATACTAGCTTTGCTGGTTTTCTTTTTCACCAAAAAACTTTCCGTGAGTTTTACTTCATGAGTGCTGTGTTAAAATTTGGATGAATGCCATTTGTATGAGATAGATCGCTATTTCACAAAATCCCCACATAGGCCTTGCTATTTGACTTTTTACCATACCCATCTATTCAACCCAGCATCCCAAACCAAACACTGGCATCATGCTCTGCCCACTCTTTGTCCATGGAGTCTGGCCTCTCAGAGATAGACCAATTATCTGACTGCAGCGGCTCCCTCTCCGAAATTAGCCCGGACTAAACTTGCATGAAATCCATTTACACAAGAACAAAGATTAGCAAAGTGAGAACAATAGATTATGGAGTTATTCTGGAGTTAGGTGTTTTCGGTATCCGCCTTCATAATTTCGTACTTAGTGCCACTGGGGAGATGTGCGGTGGGGAAAGAGGGAGGTGGGTGGAGCTCTTAGGCACAGAAGTGTGAGAGTAGGTGGCATTAATGCTGTTGTTTGTATGTTTGGACTACACACAAAATGCATTACTTGTTCCGGATCGAGGTGACAGGAACGGCTGATTCAACAGTGGTCACAATTTGGAGATGGTGACGAAATATTGGCACATCTCGAGTGTGACACACCCAGTGAGATCACATGTTGTAGATGCTGTTGGGACATGCTGATTTGAAGGATTGGGCTGTGTTGACTTGGACTCACCACAAAAAGCTTCAAAAACTGCTTGACTCGATGCAGCTATTGATGGTACATTTATTTTCCTTCATATTGTGTTGCTTATAGCTCAATTACAAAAGGGATTCAAATTTGGCCACAGACGTATTTGCCAATAACCAAACATTAGCTATTTTTGCTTGTTATCACTATGCTCATGTTTTTTAATGCTAAGCCAGCACAAGACCCTCATGTTATCCTACTGGCGACACTAAATTACACATAGGGAGTAAGGCAAGTGAATAAGAAGGTAGATTTCGAAACCCCTTTGAAACCAATTTGACTCATTCTCAGATCAAAATCTGCAATATTTACTTTAGTCCAAGGCTATTATTATATTATTATGTATCTCAAGCTCCCCGGCTCTCCTCAACAATGGTATTTTCTTTTTTAATTTAACAAGAAATGAGTAGTAAATGAAAGCTCAATCCTCCAATCCTCCAGCGTTTCCTCTCCACTCCCCTATGAATAGGCAATTTGTGAAATTATGTGATAGAGTAATTAGATAGAATTCACCCCGCCTTCCCACACAGACCATATTCCATTTAAATTGTTCCATCTACAGTATAACATAAAAGGAGGGGCTATAGCTTTTGGTTAGCATTGCTGAATTGGCCTGGCAGACACACACACAGGCTTTGGCTCGACTCCGCTCTTATTTGTACACAGCTTCGGAGTAACGAGGGGCTAACCGTGATTGCAGCTCATAAAAGAAAGCCAACCCGCAAAACCCCCTGGACGAGCCCCCATTTGTGCCTCCTCTTTTAAAAACATGTAAAATCCAACTAAAGAGTATGAAAAAATCCAACTGGAAGGCATAATCCCATGTTAATACAATTAGAGTCTAATTTAACTGCTCTGAGACACAGATGTAGCAGAGCTGGGGGTTCATGCATTTTTTTCCTTTCTTTTTTTTCTTTTCTTTTTTTTACAGTGCTGCAGTGGTGGTTTTTGAGCAGAAACAGGTGTGAAAAGTGATATAATTCATTTCTGTTCAGGCAAAGAAAGCAAGCAAGTAAAAGTGCAGGCTTGTGGTGCTGTGAGAGGTTCTAAGTTTGCATAAAAAAAGATGTATCTAAATTGCAAAATTTGGGGTTGAATAACGAATATCAACCACAAAGATGGAAAATGAAATAAAATCTTTGGCTCAAAATTCAAGAAAATCATTGTCTCAGAGGCTAGTGTATTACTGCAGTCCAAGATATAAACTCCTATCGTGACCATCGCAGAATTTAAAAACATAAATCTGTCTTATCATCAAGGCCAATTTTAAAAGTCACGCAATGTTTTGAAGAGCACAATGAGAACAAAGTGGAGGCATGACCATGTAGTTAAGAATATGTTTGTCCTGTGATTGTTGTTTGACGTGTTTGTCTTGCACAAATTGAGTTTCCGCATGAAAAAAATATTCTATGTCTATCCAAGTCTCCGGGACGCATCAATACTTCATTTACAGATGAAGCATATGCTTGAAAGAGTCTGTCAGCTGACTTTTGTCTAGGCCTTTGTCTTGACTTTTCCGCACAATCTACAACAAAAGAGAGATGTCCGTCTTGATACAGTACAGTAAAATAGCCCTCTGTGACCTGATGTCTCCGATTAGGTCTTAATTCAATCTAAGTGGCAGTCAGAAGCCAAGGCGCCACTGCATTAGAGATTTCAAAGAGAGGACAGACAGACAGATCTGCCAAAGGCCTGGCGTGACACTGACAGGACACAGGCAAACAAGAGAACAAGTTATAGTATTATTCCTACAGTTTTTATTCGCTTTCATATACTTTCTCTCGGGCAGTTGAGCTAGCTGTAGGCAGAGTGTGTGTGCTGTCGGTATGAAGACCCCTCTTTGTGTCAATGGGAATTATATGCGAAGTCTGTAGTTTACACTTTCCTATAGGCTTAACTCAAGAGCTCACTTTCCTAGCGGTAAATTCTTTAAAAATGTGACTCTCAAAAATTTCATCTCATACTTTGTTTCGAGGTAAAGTCACGTGCTTACAAACACAATCAGTCATTCTCTTTCGCAAATGTTGAGGCACTAGGCTGATAATGCATAATTTATGAGGATGAAATTGTGTAGGCACCTTGTAGTTGGGTGAAGTTTCTCCACTCTGTTTGTGAGTGCAATAGAATCAAGAAAGAATTACAAGAAAAGAAAAAATACACAACAAAAATGCTGATTTAAGAGAGAAGTTCAGTTGTCTCCTTTTCCCTGCTTGTACATTTTGTGAAGAGTCGACCGGAGTCAAGGATGAGCCAGCTGAGTCAACCTACAAACTCCCATAACACACAGGGCAGCCCCAGCCCCCACATTAACCCACACCTTGTAATGAATACATCATCATTATCCCTTCTGAACAGGCCCCTGGGAGGAGGCAGACAGATCTCTTTGGGGCTTCTCTTTGTCCATTCACCCCCATAGTACACATGGTATTGGC